CCGGCCGAAGGGAGCCCGAGCTCTGCTGGCGTTGGCCCAGCCGCTATTGTGGAAAGGCCACCATCACTGGGCAGGAAAAGGAAGTCGGCACTAAATCAATGTATATCAAAGGAAGTGAGTGGAAAAAACACAAGCACTGCCAGAATGCTTAGCAACTCTTTCTTTCTTTCTTTTTTAAATAATAGTTATCTTTACTTGCAAACCTCTGAGCTGCTGACAGCAGGCTTGAGGCCCGTCCACTGCAGAAGACAGGAACTACACAGATCTATCTCCTGCATGCAAACAACTGTTGTTGAACGCTGCTTTCGACTCTCATTGCATGATGTGCTATGAATAGGAAAGTCTCTGTGCCTGAAATGCTAGGAAACAGGGGTACATTCCTTTTCCAAATCAAAGATAGGAGAAGACAAGGAAGGAAGAATTGATTCAAGACTGAGCTATTGCCAAATTACTGAGAGCTCTCTGACAGAACCGGAACTCTTAATAATTCAAGAGTCTGGTACTTTGACGCGTTCAGAAAACAAACCCAAGGCTTTCTTGATTGATGCATGACAGGCTAATGAGAAAGTATCCATAAGCTGGGCTAAGAGGAAAGAGTCTGTACAACTGTGATGCAGAAGGGGCCTCTTATTACTATACAATTTAGCCATGACAGACACTTGGTACAGTCTGTTAGCTTTGGCATCTCTATATGGATACCTCAGAATGCCAATAAAGGAGAACTATTTTTTAAAATAAAATATTTTTGGCATTGGATTTGTCTGTGAAAAAAGAAACGTGGCGTTCAGACGTGCATTGGATACCATTGTCTTCTTCATACGACCAAGGAATGTTGCTCTTTTTACGCACATTCACTTCAAACTGGAAAGGATGGGAAACCCTTTTTTGTCCCACTTTCAGTCACGTACTTCACAAGCTTTCAGCACTTTCTGCATTTGTTTGCTACTTCATATAAGCAAACTGCATGAAAGGGAATCAGCAGACTGTAGACAGGATACAAGCAGGTTTGCTAGGCAAGTCTAGTATTGAGAATGAGTGGTCTAGCTCTCCAGTTCTGAGCTTCCTCTCCCAGTTTCCTTTCCTCAGAACAGCGTGGATCTGACACTGATTCAGACCCCCAATGCAGAGACTGTTGTAGTTTAATCAGATTTATTAGTTGACACTAAGATTGCATTGCAGATACTGGCGTAGAATCCTGTAATGGCTATGCCTCAGGTTTACACAGTTAATGAAACTAAAGCACTCCTCTTCCACAGAGGGAGCTGGTTCAGAACTTGGAACCAAAACAACTCAGACATTCCCACTGCCCTCGTGATTTGCAGCACCCGTCAGCTGAAGCATTAGGTCTTATACAAGCCCTAAAATAGCTGTTATAACAAACACAGCTATCCTCTGCTCTTGTTTCCAGCGAAATTTAGCTTTTCTCACTTTTAAAGCAAAAGTTATTTACATAGAGCACTATCGTAGGCTCTAACCTTCAAACTGCAGATCCCTGTTATTGCTCACCTTCCTGCTCTTTCACTGCTGAGTTTCACACCGAGGAGCCAGATTCTAAACCACACACTTTTTTTTTTAGACCCAAAAGACTTTGAGGCAGTTTCAGATGTTTTAGTTTTTCGTGTAAGAAGTTAACAGCTTCGGGCATCCTTCAGCAACAGATTTGAATTGCACTGCATAGTCATCGAGGGGCTTATAACACAGAAACTGGGACAACTCAGACAAATCTACCAGAGACAGAAGTCATAAAAATTACAGGAGTCTTACATGGACCTTTCCACTAAACACGAGTTCACTAAGCTAACAAAAACACAAAGGAAATGAGACAAAGAGACTTATTACAGTGACTTCTCATTATCTGTTGTGCAGCTGTGCCAGTCACCTCTGATATTAGCCTTGTGCTCTGCTCATGTGGTAACTGCGAGACTGAAAGGTTAGGGAACTCGCTGTGTAGGGCGCAGTGGCAATTCCTTTGCTACCAGTAAAATGCTGGATTACAGGAGCGAGGACAGATTCCAAAGCCCAACATAAGAAAAAAACGAAAATAAAATCTAGGTTTCATGAACTGAAATTGCCAATCTAAATAAAAAGCTTAATGGTCTCACGTAAGCCTTCCAAATTTCTAACCTCAATGAATCTGGCTTTAGGACATCCCCTTTAGCAGCTCCTCAGCTGTTCAACAACTTAGTAAGGAACTTTGAAACACTGTGTTGTAAACATATTAAGAGCTTTTGAAAATGAGCTGCCCTGTCCTAGAACAACCTTTCAATTTCTCATGGCTTCCAGAAACGCTACACCATAAAAGATACATTTCAGAAAATGAAGACGAGCAGAAGTGGCAGAGATACTCACTGACAGACAGATGCCTACTTCTGGGTTCGGGCTGTTGATAGGGTGTGTTCACATCCCCCACAGATTGGGAAGTTTTAATCCTGACTTGTTTGGGCAGTCCAGAATGGGGTGAAGAACAGGTCTGTTGGGTAAAATAAACAAGAAAATTAAAAAATAAAATAAAGAGACTGAGGAGCTCAAGCAGTCTGGCCACAGTTTCAGAAATATCATGTTTAGTAGCAAGAAAGTAGCTAAGAAACGGTTCTAGAACCTGCGATCTTATTAACTTCACAGAATACAAATAAAGACAGCAAGAGAGCAAGCTTCACAACCACTGTGTACAACAGGAGTTGAACAACTAGAGCATGCGGCCCTCCGGCAGCAAATCCAATGTAGGATTTACAGGTCCCAGTGTGTGTCTTCCATTAGCAGCTACCTGTGAAACCCAAGAGAAGGGGCTGCTACCACTCTCGGAGAGCAGACCATGGAAGAACCTACAGTTTCTTTCAGCCACCTTGGCCAGCAGAGTTTAATCAGAAATCTTCCACTCTTTCAGAAGCAGTAGAGAGCAACCTGACTCCCCACAATTTTTAAAATAGCAAACTGACAATTCAGACAGTCCAAGGGAAAATAAATTCTAGAGAGCTGAAGAGCACAAAGAATTTGGAGATGCCAAGATGAACACTGCCTGTGTTGCTTCTATTCATCCTTCCCTGAATGTACATAGACCTAATCTAATTAAAGATCATATTTTTCATGGTGTCATCTTCTCATTCAGAGGAATGAAAGGAGACACGTGAAAGGACTTCTCCCTGATCTGTAGAGATGGATGGAAGGGGTCACTTCACCACGCTTTGTAGGAAGAGAAACCGGACGATGGGTTAATGCAGGGCAGTAGGATGAATTGCTGCCCTCCCTGTGCAGCACAAGAAACTGCGAGGCCACTTCAGGCTCCAGAGGGTGCTCCCTTGGAAACACAGACTGCAGCTTCAGGCACCTCTGTGCTCCTCCACGGATGATACAGGGAGCAAGGGCTTTTAATGGAAGACTGAACAGGACACCAGCTCTCTAAGGGTGGTGTGCTAAGGTCTGAACATATGAAATACTGGGAATTGCCAACCTCCCCCAAGCACACGAGCTCCTGTGCATGTCAAGGTAGGTGCTCAATACTAATGGACACCTTTAATTTTAATTTTGCTGTCCCAAAGTACTTAGTTTTACAAGAGGATATAATATTCCCTTCCTCTCGTGTATTACAGACTTTAACTAATGTTAACTCATTTTACTGAGATGAACAGAACGAAAGATACCCCAAGGAAATGAATTCCGACTGCTGAAAATTATTTGAAAATGACTGGCAAAGGTATGAGACCACACAATCAAACAAGTAAAGTAATTAATAGTTGCTCATTTAATAAGCACTTACCCTTGCACAGAGTAGGGAGGAAGCCTGAATTAAATTACATAAACTCTACCATGAACAGATTCACGGGAGCTGTAAAGGGTGCAGAGACCACACCACTTCCATGGCTTTAGTACTCTAGGTGTTCAACTTAGCCAGTTCTTCCCCTTAGTTTCTAAACAGAAAGGACTGACAACAGGAGTGAGTTGCTTGATAAAAGCAAGCACAAACGAGCCACCGAAAGAGGCACAAGAAAATTAATATCAGCGCTATTAGGCAAAAACGCAGGCTCTCAGTACTAGACACGCAGCTGCTGTAAAGTTAATTTGTTTTATATACAGATTTGTGCCAAAGTCACGGCGTTACCTTTCCATCCCCAGAAAAAGAAAAGAGCACAACCAAAACAAAATCTGCATCCTGTACTTCAGGAAAAATAATGCTTCCCGCTCCCTCAGTGGGATGAGATCATGCAGCCAAGAAACCTCCTTCAGACTCGTGGGCTTTTGCTTTATCACATGTAGGGCTCTCCTGTCAGGCAACTCAGAGCTGAAGAGGAAGTCGGAGGAGAGGGGGGAAACAGTGGCACTTACTGAAGACTTCGCTGTTTGTTTCTGCTTTGAGCAAAAGAGGAAAAAACAGCTAATAAAAGGACAGCACCACAGTACTGGCTGGTGGAGGGATGAGATTTACCGAGTGTTTACTGCAGGAAGGTTTTGGTGGCTTATGTAAAGTGTAGTTATTATCATTTAACATCTGGTTTTCAGCCTGAAGACTCTGAAATTAATAGAGGGCTGTAAAAGGCAACTGTTTTACTGTGTTATACCAAAAGTTGAGGCTACCTTTTACAGACTATTTCCTGACAGCACAGAACAAAGTCTGACCACGCTAGGTCAGACCAAAGGCCTTTTTGCCAAGTATTGTCTTCAGAACAGTCAGTAACAAATGCTTCGGGAAAGGGCATAGGACAAGGAACAGCATCATCCCCTCCTACACCTTTCCAGCTTTTGGCATCCAGTCATTTGGGAAAGGGCTGTTAACCCTCCTGAAGGTCTCTGTACTTCTGTTAACGTGGATTATCAAATTGAAAAATAGCAAGAAGGGTATTTCAGTTTTGGTGACAGCTCCAAGAATTACAGGTGTGACTACTTCAGGGGTTTGAACTCACAACCTGTGGAACTTGCATAGGGATGAACAGTCATGAAGCTGCTACCAACAGAGCTTTCAAGAGAGAGCAGCTTTTTGTGCCACGCTCTTCAAGAGAATTTGGCAATTTGCAAATAAAATTATCTAAGCTATCAAGGTTTTTGGCTTGAAAAGCTGTATGATGTTAATTCTGAAAAAAAAAGACAAGACATTGGTGGAGTGAAAAGAGTTCTGCAGTCACAGATGAGGAATAAGGGAAACTTCTGACTCTCTTCACCCTCTTCAGTTCAATTCACTGTCCAAAAAAGCAGTTTTGAGAGCCTGACTTAGAGATTTACATCTGAAGTTAAGATCTTTTCTGCTGAAAAGTGCAAACTGCATTGAAACTCACAGTCACAGCCCCTCGTAGTACAGGAAAGTGAACCAAACCAGTCAAATTCATCTTAGGTGTGAATACACCATTACTAGCTAAAAGCAATTAGTTTCTACAGAGTAAGGCTGGATTCAATGCAATAAAGTTACAGCTCTGAAAAATCACTGGGAGCTGTCCTTAGGCTTCTCAGCCAAGGAAAGAAGTGCTAATAGCTTGTCTTCAAGGACAACCTGTGCTTTCTTAAAGGCAAGATAATTACACACACTTTCAATGCTGTGCTATTAATCAAAGGTAAAAAAGTTCTCTGCAAACCAAACTCATTGTTTTCTGAATACAGCCATTGGGAACTTGATATAAAGTGGCCTTCGTATCACAGCTCAAAAAGCTGCAACGTTTTAGTCCCTGAGCAGCTACTGAAGCCAGGAAAAATAAAGGGAGATACCTATAGCTAAGCCAAAGCAAAGAAGTTAAACATTTGCCTTTGTATCTGTGAAGAGTGATCTTACCAATTCCTGTTATTCTCAGAAAAGGCTACCACCACGTTTCAGACACTTAAAGGTAAAACCTTCCTTTTGCTGCAGTTACAGAAGTTGTTACCTACATGGTTTCTGTCCTGAGACAGCAATGATATTCTAAGGCTTTTCAAATTAGAGCTTCGGTCTAGGAGATCTACTGCTTTGTCCAGGTCATCTTGATTTTTCAAAGGAATGGAGAGCTGCAAAATAAAGCACAGGAAAAAAAAAATCATTAAAAAAGGACAGAAAAAGTTAGTCTACTTCCACAATAGGTATTTAAACACAGAAAAAACCTGAGAATAGTAAATAGGATTCTGATAGGTCAATTACTCCACAAATTTTCATTACAGTGCTGTCTTACTGCCCTTTTTAACAAGGTTTTCCTCCCACACCATCAGATAAATAGCTGACCCTATGCAAATTTCTCTAAGGCACCTTACACAAAAAAATGAATTGCTACCTGATTTTGTTGTTTGCAAAGAACAAGTCAGGGACAGGCCCCTGACTCCCTGATGAGAACGCTGTCTCAGAATACTTATGAATCCAGACCTAACGACCATGTGAAACTTGGGTTTCAGATAGAAACTAATACAGGGCAGATTAAGACTTTGAAAAAGGGAATCAAAGAAGAATTTTAAACTTGCTAGTAAGACCCCGTGAAATCATGCCCAGACAGCCCACTCACACCTCGAAACGTGGACGTTATTAACACCAAAGAACCTTTTTGTCCAACTCCTACTGGTGAACGGGGTTTTGCATCTCTCTCATTAGGGATTCAGTCCTGAATGGTGGCAGGGCAACACCACAACAACAAACCCAAGGAAATGCCAGGGTGTCCAGGGGGAGAAAGCCAACGAAATACTTTAGATTATAAACACGGACTACCCAGCTTTGCAGAGACAAATGCTATTGCCCATGCCACTTTCTTTTACCAAGGACAGTGCCCCCAGCCCCCTGCAGCATCAGTGAACCTCTCATGTTCTCTAACTCCCCTGTCTGCCTCCAAGCTGGGCAATGAGCAGAAAGTGCTGCAGCCAGCAGGAGGTAAATGTGTTGCAAACAGTTGGATGGCTGCTGCTCGTCAGCAGTCAAACACAAACAGTACTGACTGCTGTCAGACAGCTGAAGAAATGACCCTGGGACTGCCTGCAGTCCTCAGACCGTACATATATTGGCTTGCAGTAGTTGCTTTCAGCAGTCAAAATACTTCAAGTACATTTTTCTCCTCCCCAAGAGAGTCTCCCAAACAATGGCAGTACAAGGAAGCGAGATGCTGATGTTCGTACAATACACACGGCAGTGCGATGTTTTGTCAGGATCAGCATGTTTTCCTCTGGAGCAGAGTGATTCAACTACGGTTCACATTAGAAGGAAGAACTGAAAATTAAATCTAAGGGTACAGAATTTGAGATGGGAGGGGGTGGTGTCATCCAGAGAGAGTGTTAGGTGTTCTGAGCACCGCTAACAACGCTGTGTACCTCGTTGTTCATGTAGTGGAGGTCCAGTGGCTGGCCAAAGGCTGTTTTCACTTTCTGTTGCACATCTTCATAGCGCACGGGACGGACAAATGGGATAATTCTGGAACGAAAGAGAATCACTGATTGAATTCAGATATATACTTGGTAATGCAATAAAATTCGATGGGTGAGCCATTAAAAACACATTTGAACGTTCTCTTTTCATCCTCAAGCAGGTAGTGAACCTGTCTAAATGGAATTGATATCATTTCAGCAAGGAATTCTTGATCTCTGTTCCATTTCCAAATGGTTTGTCAAAATGCAATATTCAGCTGAAGATTTCAGAGAGAATACCTTTGTCCCTGGATAAGAAAGCATCCCTTACTGAATAAATTTCTTCCACATAACAGGATACAAATCTTCTATGCACTTTGGCTTAAAGAACACTGCTTCAGACACAAAACACAAACAAATACATTTAGTGACAGCTGAATTAAGAGCTGCGGAAGGCCCAAAGAACAAAAAAGTCTTTCGTTTAAGTGCTCCAATATCTGAATTCAAAACTCACTCCCTAAAAATTTCCAAAAAGTGTTCCAGTTGAAAGGTTTCAACAAACATTCCCACAGCAAAGTCAGTCCTGAGCTCCTGGGGAAAGGCATCAGAAGGAAGACACAAAGGAACCTGAAAAGCCCCTTTTGTCCCCAAAGGTGGCTGTGACATGAGCTCCACGTCAGCCCCTCTGCGTGCTCACCTCAAGCATGTCCCAACTTCTGATCACTGTCTCTGCAGCGATCCTTCAAACCCTGCGCAACACAGCAGGGGCTTTTCCTCATGAGCTGAAGTCAAATCTGACTGTAACTGTGCAACTGTTTGTCACTCACAGCTTGCTTTATTTAAAATAAATTGTGGGTTTTTTAATTACAGAGGCCTAATAGATCAAAACTTAACTACTGCTTCTAGCTGTAAAAGCAGTGGCACAGCTGACTTGCAATAATTCAAAATATTCATCTAAGAAAGAACATTCATATAAGACAGATAAGTCTCATACTCCTTCCATCATGAGTATTTTTCACACAAAAGGCATCTCTGGGCACCTTCACTGACTGAATGACACACAAAATACGCACAGATGTAAACCATTCTGATGACTTTCCCCGAGCCCAGACCTTGTGTCACACTAAAGCTGCTGTTCTAGCACTCAGCCGTTTCCTCGCCAGCCGAACAGGAGGAGATTCAGACTCACATACACAAACGGCCTCAAGACATCCAAAATGGCAAGAGGCACAGCCATCCTACGGGAACCCTGCAGAATCCCGTGGCACATGCGTGCTTTTCGGAAAATGACAGGATGGTTTTCTTTGTTGGGTTTTTATTACTGCTTTGCCTACCTTGGAACAGAAAGTCTAATGTTTTAGGCAAAGTAGTAACATGAAGTTCCAGCAAAGCATCTAAAAATGTTTATTTTGCTGGAATGTTCTTCTGGAGGAAGTTGCCAAGTACTCAGAGAGTCGCTACCTTGACAGCTGTGGAAAAGGACGATTTTCACCCTCTTCAGAAGAATCAGCGAGTGAAATATCCTGGTCAAGAACAGGAGGATTCAAATGTGAACCTATAGTTTACAACCTGTTATTCTAGCAAACCAAGCACGTCTGCTCCTCAGAAACCCGCTTTTCATCTCTCTGCCGTGCAAGGCCCAGATGGTTGATCCTGCCTTCAGGCTCCTGCAACCAACCAGACTTCTCACCATCTGCTTTTCCATGGGCCACGGGACCGCACTGCGTCCCCGCCACCGGCGAGTTAAAGCCAACAGCTCTGGGACACAGCTGAAGCCACGAGACCACTTCGCCAGCTGCTCACCCCACTGCTGCAACTTGAAACAACTCTGCTCTGGCACAGCTGAAATTCTACCACAAAAAACTCGATTGCCAGCACCACTTCACAATTTTGCCATCAGGTAGAAATAGGAAGACCTGAATGGACCACAGAAACTCAAGACTTATCTTGCTCACAGGGGCAACAGCTCAGGAAAACCCCAAATCACCTCTGGAGCTCACATGAGTTCGTGCTAAACCTGTGCTCTGGATAGAAAGTGTAGATTCCAAACCGTCCATCCAGCCTGCTCTGCCAGCACTCAGTATCCTTGCACAATATGCAGCTTTTGTTTTAAATAGCTCTAGTGTTAGTTGGCTTCCTTCGCCCCTTCCCAGGAAGGGTTCTTCTTGCTACCCAGACCTACAACATTCAGCTATTTAGAAATAATTGTCTGTGTTAAAAAGCAGCCCACAATAACATTTTCTACATATTACCAAGAAACCCATCCATGAAATTATAGCACTCTGGCACCGCACAAATGTAATTTAGCTCTCAGTTGAGCTGAAGTCCCTTATAAAGGCTTCCATTCTACACTCAATGCATTAAAAAGCAGAGCTGTTCTCAGGTGCCACAAATTCTATTAGTTTAAAAACTCTGTGCGCTCTTCTAACACAAAATCATGGCCTGCAGGGTTTAAGGAGCCCATTCCTGCCTGACCACCTTAAATATTTGTGGTTAGATTTGGCAGCTCCACTGAAACCAAGCACACACACTTACATTCTCGGTGCAAGCTTGCTGTCTGTAACTGCATACCACTTTGGGAATGGGGAATTCAGGCGAGCGTAACTGCATAATTAGACTAACGCACAATCAACCTTTTCATTTTAATGTTGGTTCAGAAAAAAACCCCTTTCTTCTCCCCTGAGCTCTGTGCCATCTTAACATGCACTCAGGCACAAGACATGCAAGATGATAGGACTGCAGTGACAAGATTTGGCTTCCCAGTCACCTTGTCCTAACAAGGTATCACTGGAAACTGTGACATGTGGCACAGTGGATCTGTTGCAGCCCACACAACGCCTTCGACACAGCAGAGCGCTGACAAGATCTGGCTGACAAAGGCAGCAGCAGATCCCAGCTAGGATTGCTTTAAAAATTTCTCCTTGGGCACCAGAACGAAGGGATTTTTTTTTAGTGACAGAATTCACCATGTAGGACCTTGGTGAATGACAACTTTCAATTTTTGAGGAAGATTTTAAGAATTATTTTCTACTGCCGGCTTTACCAACAAAGAACGCCTCTGCTTTTCTGTTTTAACAAAAATCCCTACGTTTGGCAAAGGAAAATACTTGAGGAGGAGCTTAAGCAGCTCAGCCAGTAACTTCTGCTACTAGGATCACCACATACAACTCGCACTGTCGTAAGATAAACGTTAAATTTGCTTTTTATCATGAGACCTTGAACCCCTTCACACTGAAAGTAGTGTCTGGGATGGGAGAAACCAAGGACTCCCATAGGATATCTGTGAAGAGTTGCATCTAAATTCAGGCTTACAACCCAATTAATTTCTTCAAAAAAAGGAAACTGGAACCCAGCATCAAGAACCCTTTTTCCTCTCAGCGAGAGCTCAAGAGCAGCCTCAAAGAGGCTGCAAACAGGTTTGGAGCTTTCCCGTATCTTCACAAAGCCACTGAACAACTAGAACAGCATTGAGAGTTTCTCTCAGTTAGGTGGCAAGAAGGGCTTTTTGGGTTTTATTTGTTTTAAGGGCTTTTTGAGACCTAATTTGAAACATCTAGGCAATTTTATCCATTGGAAACAATACTGAAAATGCCAATTCCCTTAATTTTGGTGGTTTTTTTTTTTGTAAAATAAAGTGTCTCAAAATCAAGTATCAGAGGAAACAGCAAGGCAACTTTTAGACCACTGAAAAAATCTTCCCTGGCTGTATCTGTTGCTCAGTCACAGCAGGACAGCGATAGGTCATCAGGAAGTGAGAAACTAGAAAAGAATGACACCAATTTGATCCGTTTCATTTGCTTTCAGCTAAACAAAAAGGGAACACATTGGAAATAAGACTATCAAGGCTGAATTTATTTCAGGATGGACAGCTGTTTTAATATTACTGCAATTCACTTTCAAATAGACATTATGAAAATAAAGCAAAGTGAAGTGTTGTATGACACACTGATTTTTAAAAATAACCAAGTTGGGTATGACCTGTTTGCTGTTGCCTTTACTGTGTGTTTTTCATTCAGGAACAAAGCAAGTGAAGCCAACAAGACATTTAACCTAAGTTACTGATGAATTAATTATTCTACTGAGCAAAGAACCACAATGGAGACAGCCTTACCGTCTTTCCCCGTTATGTTCAAACTTGATCCTGACATCATTCTGCAGAAGAAAGAACGAACAAAAGGTCAGTTCACAATGAAACACTGGCACACAAAAGAGCACACGAATGGATCATATTGTGATTTTAAGGCCCAAAAGTAAAGCAGGTCACTTTGTGACTGCAGCAGATACCAACTCCTCAAAAGGCTGACCAGAACACGAGTCTGATGACTTTCTCCATGGAAGTCGAAGCAGACTGCACAGAAAGTGGCTGACATGTGAAGACAGCACCACGAGGAATGGAGAAGCTGCTAAAGGAGGAACAGAATAAAGGGGTAAACACCAAGTTGCAATTTTTAATTGTCACTTAAATGGAGGACACTGAAATGTGCTGTAAGGAAACTTAAGCCACCTGTTTCACTGCAGCATGGCAAAAGTCTGAAATTGAGTTCAACTGCATATCCATCTGAACTGAAGTTACTATTTTCTTCGTGTGTTCTCAAAGCAGGCATGTTTTATTTTATGGAAATAAAAATACAGGGAAAGCACTACATTTTTTATTCTTAAGACACAGACTAAATCCCTGCTTCCACAAAAATGCAGCCCCTGAAACTCAAACTATGAAGTTACAAACAAGTTAACTACATCACCTTTTAAAGCGCACAGGGGTCACCCTCCACATCTGGCAGATGCGTAAGGGCACTGACCACACAACCTGTGCGTTCCACTGTAAACTCAGAAGATGCTATGGGGCACGGAAGAGTCAACACGCTGAACTTTCAACGCTGGAGATCAAAGTTCAAATCCCAATTTAGGTCACAAAGACAAAAATAAAAGGGAAAAATCTGCTCTGATAAGAGTCCGTAATTTCTGCTGCACAATTTATGCGATTGGAATAGATTAAGCCATCTGTGAAAGCTGCAGACAATAGGCAATCATACATCTAGGAACTTCAAAAAAACGTGGCCAGGAAATGCTCTTTAGCTGGAGGAAGTATCTGGCAGGCCCAGTGGTCAAGAATGCAGTTCAAAGGGACCCAGGCAGTCACTGAGTACACGGCATTCCACTGATCACTTCCCAGAGCCACAGCCATCTGCAGGTGGGTGATCCCCACCTCGCTTTACCACAGAGGTTCTCTCACATGTGGGAAGAGAAAGAACTTGCTCTAGAAAAGCACTGAAATGAAGCAAATTCTAGAGAACTCATTTTAACTGACAAGTAAAGGAAAAATGCAACAAACAGCATAGGAATAATAAACTATACAAGGTGCCCACCAGGCAACTACTGAGGAAACAGATCTTTCTTCTGCGTAATGTATGGAGGAATGATCCCTTCATATCAGGATTTTCAGGGAAGGAATGCTCTAATTTTAGAGTTTTGTTTGGGTTTTTTTCCTATACTATTCTAAGTAGCACAGTCTAAGGGAACTAACTAGGACTGTTTGCATGAAATCACTGTGATTTTTCAGATTACATTTTTGACCTCAGGATGTGTTCTGGGTCATGAAACAGCTCAGTGACAAAGCGCTCACTGGTTAAAATCAGGCAACACGAAGATCTTCAGGGCTCTGTGGAAAACTTTCTTCAACTTGCTGGTACCTAAGCAAAAATCTCTCTTTCTCAACAGCACTGTACAGTTTCAAACCTGCAATTTGTAACAAAGGGCAGAAGGGGGTGGTAATTTGGCATCTGTCTCCTGATGATTTTTTCAAAAGGAACAGACTGACTGTTTTTCAAAAATCGAAGGAAAGGTATCGAAAGGATCTTAGTGTTTAAATTTCAGAGAGAACCAAAAGGAGTTAAACGTCTAGTGCTAAACCGGTGTGAAAGCAATAAAGCTATCACCTCTACAAACCACTTTCTAAAGCAATTCATATAATCTGTCCTAAGAGATGAGTAAGAAATCAAATCCAAGTTTAGTACTTGACTGTTCCAGTTCTGTGATGCAATATCATAAATAATGACTACAGATTTTCATTTGACATCTCTGAATTTATGTTTCAGAGCATTTTGGAAAGGATTTTGTACTACTCCATCTACAGATTTGTCCAGCACAGTCAAGGAAATCCCAGATCCCAGCTGAACAAGTAGATTACGAGCAGACAAAGCATAAGGAAGAGACAGGCATGAACTCTAAAGCCTGCTCCAGAAAGCTTAAGCCTGTAATAAGGATCTAACTGGGAAGAGTTATTTTCCCAATATAGGCAACTTCTCCTGTTAATCTTAGTCTAACTGCAAGTAACTCTAATTAATTTTTAGGACAGAAATGAACAAAGAATTCTTGACTGAAACTGTTGCTCTGGCATTAAGTATTTAATTCAACTGATACGGAGCACACACTGACAGGGCTCAGTCCTTCCTTTCTACCAGAAAGTCAGTGCAATATTTTTCTCTACCAAAAAAAGTCTCTGGCAATGTAAAATAAACTTAGAGATATTTTAAAGTATTCACTACACCACGTATTATCTTGGAAAAAGTATTTCTTCTAGCAAATGGATTTCACATCCCTCCACCCAAGTAAGGGTTTGTTTCATTGCCCTCTTCATGTGCCATAAGTCAGGGTATCCTCCCTGCTATGGATGCCGTCTCTATTCAGACACCTGTAAATAGCTGCTTCTTTGTTCACTGAAGCAAGGTTTACTGCAGCTTCACTAAAGCCAGTCCTTTCAGACAACCCCCTTCCCTGTTCTTGCATCAACTTCAGTGTGACTACCTTTCATCAACCCTTAATAGTGTGTTCACCTGCAGTTTGAAGCATGCAAAGATGAACATTAGTTCATCAGACCGCTTTGTGCGGCTTTAAACTGCAGTGGCTTTCTTCTGCATCACAGATGGAAATACTTGCTTCCTTTTCATCATCACGCTCTTCAGTTCCCTGCATCGCTTTGAATTTAAGTATTATTTCCATTACAATGAGAAGAGCATCATACAGCTCCATCATGACAGAGTCAGTAAAGAAAAGCTTTCTTGGCCTTCCAAACCTGCTTAAGCGAATTCTGTAAAGGTCAGTGCACATGACTTCAAAACAGGCTCCTAATTTATAATAGCTAATATCGAATAGGCAGCCAGTTTTCTTACCGGAATTTTTTTTTCTTCCACTGCAGAGGCACACTGGTTTGTTATTGCAGGGCTGCCCAAGACGGGTGGACTGCTGGCATTGTGTTTTTTCTTTAAAAACAAAGAAAATAATTTTTTTAAATGGCAATACGACTATGAAGCCAGAAAACCACTTGGTTATCTTTTTAACTAATCTACACAGACCAAACCCCATCCTAAACGTGTGTGGGAGGAAGGCAGAATACCAAGATGCTGCAAATTATCAAAAGTGCACCCCATGAAGGTAAATAAATAAAAAAGCTGATGTTGGCAACACAGCCCAAGCAAAAATAGGGAGCTAATCCACCTGGGATGCTTCAGCAGCCAGAAGCACAAAGCAGAAGAGAGGGAGCAGACCCACCAGCAACCTACCCTGCCCCATACCCCTTCTGCCTCCAGGTAAGGATTTCAAGCACTCATTAGACAGCTTATTACCTGCTTGTTGGAGTGAGCAGTGTCTTTATTCTTCATGGTATCATAGCCAGTCAGCCTGTGACGTCGGCTCATCTGGAGTGCTACCAGGTCCTTCATGATGGATTTCAAGGCCTCTTGTTCGTCTGCGGTGGACAAGAATTTTAGCGTAAGTTGCCTGGGTATCAACTGTAATACTTCTGCACTTGTTTTCTGCTGGCTCATACAAAAATAATCCTTTTTAGGATCTTTGCAAACACACCATGATTTCATTTAGTCATTAAAAGCCCAAATGTAACCTAGTATCGTGAAGCAGTAAACAGATGGATAAATTTTAAGTCACTTGTGCAATGTCACAGAAGGATCTGGCTATAGTAAGGTTCAAAATTAACATCCCCAGTTCTGTTAAAACACTTCCACAACAAACAGTACAACTCGGACAGATTTGCCAGATCATCATAGGTCCTTTAGGAAGGGCAAACTGATGTGCTGCTGCCAAGGAAAACCTGGTAACAATCTGCTCTTTCCAATTTTATATCCTGTTAACTTCAAATTCTTGCTTGTGAGCAGAGTAAATCACGGCCAGCAGAAAGAAAAACGAAAACCTGGACAAAGAGTCATCTTAGAAAATCTCTAAATACAACTCCACTTGCACTGATTTCCCCAACACATTCCTCTCTTCCCCCAAAACAAGCTGATGGACCAAAGTTCAAACCATTTTACGAGGCTTCAAGATCTACCGAGCAGATTCAAATCGCACAGGATTAAGAACGCTGTCTGCTGGCAGAGCCCCATGCAGCAGGTTCAATTCAAGGCTTCTTGCAAATGCAGGAAAATAAAACACACACACATGGAAATATTTCTTGTACATACTATTGGTTGGAAATGACTTTCTGAAGCTAAGAGTCTTGAGGTAACAAATTTAAACTATTCTTCCACTGCTTGTTAGCTTTGAGGGTAGAAGTATTTAGCAGAAGTTTGCATGAAGTCCGGAGGAAGAAAAAAAAGACATAAAAGGAGAAAAATGTAGCTGGGCTGTGATGGGTGCTGGCATAAAGTTGTCTAAAAGCTACGGAAAAGAATCCTTTGCTTTTGCAAGCACAACCACCCTAAATTCCTCAATACTGCAAAAGGTAGACGAAGTCGAGACAAAGTTTGCTTCACAACGGGACTGTGCTACCCGCGTTGCTCGCAGGAGCCGAGCCACCAGCACAACCACGCAGCAGCAGACGCTGGCACCCGGAGGAGCTGCCATGGGCACACGTGGGCTGCTGGGCTGTCACCTTGCATACCAAGACCCGAGGGCTTTCAGGGATAAAGCATTGTTTCCTTGGCAAATAATACATCCAGTTAAAGCCTTCCTGATACTGAAGCACAATTTAGGCATGAAATTTGAAGCAGTGATTAGCTCAGCTCTCAACAGGCCCAGAAGAAGAGTCTGCTCTTTCTAAATGACTCTGGTTGGGCTTGACCACTGGGTTTGGATGTAAAGCACTTTTTCTGGATTTTTCTGTTTGACAATTGGGACTTGTGGAAGTGACGTGAACCAGTAATGCACAGGTGAGGTTATCACATCCCTACTCTTATGACAGTGTATCAGGCGTGCAATGCTTGATATGCCAGATTCCTTCCAGATTTCTTCCCAAAGTCTACAAACACGTCATTTCCTTGTCTTTAAATTGAAATTAGCATTTTTGAAGCTGATCTGTAAATAAACTGAACTTTATTTTAAAAATCCAGCATGGCTGCACACTCATTCCCGATTCACAGCACTGGTTTGGATGGGGAATGGTTTACATTCGGAAATGCGGGCCTGGAACAGCTGCTGTACATTAAATGATGGACTGACGTGCATCTGTATTTCTCTGCAAAAGGGACTCATTGGGACTATTTGTTTCTTCAGTTTCATGTTATGCATTTGTTCTTGAGCATCTCTCAAAGAAGCCAGCTTATGTTTTATGCAGAAGACTGGGTTCACAATTAATCAATGTCTGAATAACAAAGTAGATTTTCGCAATGCTTAAAGATGACAGCTGTGGGACACATACGGCTTCTAAAGCACGCAGAGGGTGAATGCTACCAACATTTAGAAGCAGAAAGAGGGGGAAATATAGCTATTTGTAATGGGACAATGACTAAAAAAGTCCCAAGTCAGGACAGAAGTCACAGTAACATTATCTTTGGTACAACCAATAGTTGCTGCCCAGAAGGTTTGCTTTAGCTTTCTGTGAGTATTCAACACGAGAGCAGAGGAACTTCCACTATGGTCTTCACCCTGTACTACCAAAGAAATAGAAACATCAAGCCTAGGCCAGACTATAGAGAAAAACGGAAAGAAATCTCCCAATGCATTTGCAGAAGGTGTTAATTAGAGCAAAACTCTTAAAAAAGGAAAGCAGAGCACTGAAAATAGAGTGACTCGAAACGAGCCAAAATCAAAACCCAGCAAATCTCCGCTGTCCAAGACAAGCCAAATGAGACAATAACGACATTGTGGTAGCGAAGGGAGAGCACTCCTTGAAATTCCAACTGCATGCACAAGAAGCGAGGGGTTTAAGTAACACGACCAAAGCAAGAGGTTGCTTTTTTGAAAAGCACATCAGCCAAAGGAAATAACTGCTAGGATCTATCTCAGCACTGAGTAACCCCTTGTGGGAGGAAAACGTGAAAAATCAGTTGTGAATGAGGTTAACGTTCCAGGTAACCAACAGCACAACTTTTTTTTTTCCTTTTTCTAAATTGTTTCCAACTTTACATTTGAGCATTCAACATTTTACCTCACTGGAGCGTCTCCAACTTACTCTTATTCTTTCATCTTGTCTGATATTAAGCATAGCCTTTGAGCCACCTGGCAGATAAAGACGACAACTTTGCACCACAAAACCTTACAAATGATGAACTGGCATAGCCCAGGAGTGCCCACCACCCTAAACACTCTGTGAAGAGCTGGGATGCAAGTTTTCCACTACAGTGCAGTTTGGGTTTGGCCAGATACCAGGAGGATGAAGAAGAGCTTGTCTTGGCAGGCTGTCAGGGCTCCTTTGAGCAAGAAGCAAAACAGCTATGAAAGCAGTTTATAGCTCAGCACTCATGACAAGAAATCAAGTCAAAGACTACATCTGTGAATAAGAATTTGCATCTGAACAGCATGGCACATCACTGGGAAATAAGGATCGACATGTAATCGCAGGCTACAGGTGTTTGATCCCACAGTCCAGGCTGTGTATAAATCAGTTGATTTTCAGTGTCATTTGTATGAGAAAGCAGGCAAAGACAACGTGCATCTCATGAATTATGGATCTCTTAATAAAGACTGGAGCTCTGGTACATAGTGTATTTATCTGTTAGCTAAGGCAGCTTGTGAATTTACAATACACTGAGACACCGCGCTCTGAAGGGCAGCATCTGGCAAGCATCCCTAGTTCATGCCCTGCGAGGTCTGCAACTCACTCGCTGTAAACTCCAATTTCCTCTGTAGGCAAGGGCTAATGCTGAAATCTTGTTTGCATCCGTGCAAAAAGGAACCTAATGTAATATCAAAGGTTGATGGAACAACTTCAGGTGAGTTTGAATCTTGTGTGGCTATACATTTTCAATAGCCCCACTGTAAGTTATCAGCTCCCTAGTACCAAAACGTACATTCTGTAATTCATCCTCATGTTGGTGAGGCAGGAAACAGAGCACTTACCTTTCTAAAACATAAAATAAATGTCAAATATTGATCTGGGCTTGTGCATGGAAAAAATGTTTCCGTTTTGGACAGCATTGTGATGGATTTAATGTCGAGAAGCATGAATACCTCTTTATGTCCATCAAAATAGAGGATTTCCACAGACTGACTTTAAAGAAGCCCATGCAGCAGCATCACATTGATCACACAATGTAAAAGTTCCTACAAATGAAAACTAGGCAGTTCTGGAAGCGCACTGAGAGACCCTGTACTGCCAGGTCTCCACTAGGTCTGGGAAACACAGCTCTGCTTTGTGCGGGAAAGATGTTGTCCAGGAAATGCTTTTCATGTTTTAAAAACTACACTCAAGGATTTTTATAACATCGATAAAAGGGGAACTGCTCTTCACAAAGAAAGCTATTCCTCTGCATAAAGCATTTATTTCAACCAATACCTGGTTTATTACACAGGTCTGAGCAAGTCAGGGTATTCGCTGGGGCAGAAATGGAAACAGTTTTGAAAGAAAATCCCCACGTTCAAACAGAGTAAAAGCATCTGCACGTCGGTAAAAACAGGAAGTCTGTAAACCCCTCCAAACCAGGATGCTGTTTTATAGAGCGTGATAATACGAGACGTGATGCTACATTTGTTTAAAAAAGAAATAAGTGAGCAAATAAGTGTGGTTTTGTTGTCTACCACCACAACAGCAAAGCGGATTGCTCGTGCAAATGATGGGCAGATCCAGGGGCAGGGAGTAAATGTCACAAGTGAGGCAGAGAAACCGAGCCTACGTTAGAGCTCTGGAAAAAGTCTTTGAAAAAGTTTAATTTTGAGTCCTTCACTGCCGTACCAGTCTTAGCGGTACCAAAACGTTGTTCTGCCTGGTTTTTAGGAAATTGCAAGTGATGTGGTTTGCAGACTTCAAAAGCAGAGCTTTTCTAGGAACCCGATACACATGGTGCATATTTGGGGTACCTCTTCTCTCCCACAGATGAACAAAACCAAGGCTGGGATTTAAGCAGGTCCGAACCTGCAGGCTCAGCCCTGTTTCATCCCCCAGGCGCATCGGGGGCGTCACTGCCACTGAAGCCGGGAGCGCCGCGCTCGGCCGTGGGTGCGCGTGCGAGCCAAGGGAAGGAAGTGACACAGGCAGGAAAAAAGAGCAGATCGAGGAAAAGACTCCACTGCAGCTGGGCCTGCAGCGAGCATTTCGCCTGGGCCAGCCCAAACCCCGCTCTCCTCTCTGCTTCCCAGATAAATACCTGTTTCTCAGTATTAGCAGCAAGTATCTCTATTTTAAATGCCACTGAAGAGCTCTCTGCAGGGAAGGAACCCTTCCTAGCAGGTTGGACAATCAACCTCAGCGAGCTTCAGCTGCAGCAAAGAGCTACCACAATCCGCAACACCAAGCTCTTGCTGTTAACCACCCCACGGACCCTGCACACCAGCTGACAACAAACAAGATGTAAGCAAAGCA